TACTTCTCTCAAGTTATTCCAAGAGTTTTGGTGTTGTGTGAAACATTTGAGGCATCACATTTGGGGTGCTAGGCTCACAAAGTCTTTAAGGAATCCAAGCTACAAGAAAGGTATGTCATTCTACTGGTTTTTATATTACAAGTACCCCATGCCATGCTAGTTAGGATGAGAACCTTGGAAAATTCTTATTTGCATGTATATTAGAGAAAACATAGATCCAAGGTTTCTAGGGTTGCATGTACACCATAGGAGTGTTAGAATGCTCAAAACCCACCAGTGGTATCAGAGCCTAGACTTGTTTTCATTATACTTGATGCACATTGCTTGAAAAAGTCGAAATTTTGCTCTCTGATCAGTGAACTCACCGAGTCCATGGGGGGACTTGACGAGTCCATGTGTATGTTCATCCTACTCGACGAGTAGGTTCTTGCACTCGGCGAGTAGGAGGCCGTGAGTGCAGAAATTCGAGTTTGAATGCTAGAATTGGACTAGAATCATTACCCTAAACTGTTTTTGACTTGTAAAACCTGTTTTTGGTGTGGTAATGATTATGCTAATCCAATTTCAAAGGTTATTATCAAAGTTTCAAGTTTTATGTATGTTTATATGATTCTTGAAAATTGTTGATATGAATGTTCATGCTTATGAGTTTTGGTAGATCATAGGAATTATTTGCAAATTATTTGTTAGTTTAATTCTTGATCTAAATGCTATTGATGGAGTCCATAATTTGTCCTCAAGTTATGGATTACCAAAGGTCATTTCTTTAAAAGTGTCATTAAAGAACTCATAGGTTATATAAAATGAAGAGTCTTCATTTTAATGGACCATTAAACTCATAAGTTATGAAGTTGTAAAGTTTTGAAGAGTTACAAAACTTGCCCTCAAGTTTTGGAACTTGTAAAGTCACTTTAGAAAACTTTAGTTCCAACCCCTAGAATTTTAAAAGTTAAAATTCAACCCTTATAATTTATAGTATTATAAGTTAATAATATATATATGTATAAGATCAAGTCAGTTTTACCGTTAGTAGGCCTCATTCATGAAGTCGGTCTATAAGGGGGGGGGGGGGGTATAAGGTTGTTGCCTATAAAATGGCAGCTTAATGGGTGTCCACTCTCACCTACCGCTTCCTTGACTGGTGGAGGGTCGTTAGCCGAACGGGTAGGACAAAGACTATAATTCTCATTAAAAGTATAATGATAAATATAAAGTAACTAAATGTTTTATAAATTCCCAATCTTAGTTACTTTAGGAAAAATGAGAATTTGGTGCTGATGCAACATCGACCTCCGGCGAGTCTTCTGGTCTTCAGCTGCGGCGGAGATCTGGATATCACAGTGCAAAGTCGTTAGAGCCGCCCCAGTGACTGTGCCCCGGGAGCGGAATCCGACGGTTAAGTTAGATCAGCTAGAAGATCTGAGATGGTCCTCCATAGCTGGAGAGAACCATCTTGGTGCTAGTGGTGGTGCATGGTGGCTGACAGCGGAGGGTGGCGGCTGAGCCACCCGGCCGGAGTCTAGTGGCGGCTGAGCCAAAGGGAAGGATCTAGTGGCGGCTGAAGCACTTGGGAAAGAGCCCGCTCCATGGAGGAGGTACTGTTCATTATATAGGGGACAATTAGGTCAGGCCTTGGGCCAGCCCAATTCAGGCCCAGGTAGCAAGGAGCTTGGCGAGGCCGCCCTGAGGCACCGTGCGAGGCTGGCGGGCGCGCACCAGGAAAGGTTGGCAAGGGAGCGCCCAGGCAGGGAGCGCCAGGCTAGGCCGGCAGGAGAGCCCCCAGCCCTACTGGCAAGGGAGAGCCAGGCCGGGCCGACGAGAGAGTCCCCAGCAAGGCTGGCAAGGGAGCGCCAGGCGAGGCTGGCGCGCCGGAGCTGTCTAGGCCATGCTAGTGGACCATATATCATCAAGTCCCCCCAGTATGATGTTATTGGTACGCGGCCAATGACATCGGACTGGACTAAGTCGTATAAACCAACAGGAGAGTCCCCAGCGAGGCTGGCAAGGGAGTCCCCGACAAGGTTGGCAGGAGCGCGCCAGGCCAGGCTGGCGCGCTAGAGCAGTCTGGGCCATGCTAATGGACCATATATCATCAAGTCCCCCCCCAGTCTGGTGCTATTGGTACGCGGCCAATGACACTGGACTGGAACTAGTCATATAAACTGTGCGTCGTCAAGTCCCCCTAGTCTGATGCGATTGGGTTGCTGACAATCGGATCGGACTAGATATAGCACCAAAGCATTTAATAATAGAGAGAATGACCGAACCTCGCCCACGAGAGTCGTGGGGTTGTGCGATGAGCCAAACAGTGCTTACGCGGCTTGGGATGACTTGATATTCCTTCATTGAGAGGAGTGCGAGCCGATCGGTGCAATGCAACGTAACTGTTGCTGCGATCATGCGGACCGAGGCTGCTAAAGAGTGTTACGCAACACTGATGTCGGTGGAATGTCGGACCGGGGTAGCTAAGAAGCGTAAGCTTGCCATTCAGTCCCTGAGACTGTTATCCGACGTGATTGTTGTGGTAGCCATGCGAGATGGGATGTCACCAGTAACCATCTACATAGTCTGCATTAATAACCATCTTGAGGATCTTTCTTGCTCGGGTTACACCTAGCTGGATTCCCCCCCCCCCCCCAGTCTGATGTGGGTAGCGTAGGTAGCCGTGTCAGACTATGTTGCCTGAATTTAGGATCCGCGTCTTACGATGCGCGACAGTACGCGGCTTATGTTGCGCGGCTTAGAGGAATAGTCCGGGCTTAGCAGCTAGCGATCATGGAGATGTCACGCAGGAGAGCATCGCGTGGAACAGATCGGGTTTGGCTGCCAGCGATTGTAAATAAGTCACATGGGAGAGCATCACGTGGAATGGATCGGGCTTGGCTGCGAGCGATCGTAGATAAATCATGCGGGAGAGCATCGCGTGGAATCATATAGCCAAAGGTTGCAAGCCTTTGAGCCTCGTCGGCGGAGCATGCTGTTGTAGTGGAGCCGGGATGGGGAGCCAGGTGACTCGAGACGAGGGTACTAAACCTCGCATGCAGAGCTAGCCTCTATAATGGAGTTGGGCTGAGAAGCCAGGCGACTCGAGGCGAGGGTACTGAACCTCGCATGCGGAGCTTGCCGCTATGATGGAGTTGGGCTAAGAAGCCAGGCGACTTGAGGCGAGGGTACTGAACCTCGCATGCGGAGCTTGCCGCTATAATGGAGTCGGGCTGAGAAGCCAGGCGACTCGAGGCGAGGGTACTGAACCTCGTATGCGGAGCTTGGCGCCCTACAATTTATGTGTCTAGCTCGTGTGACAAGTCTGGGTTAAAGCGGAATGGTACCTGATGCTTTGCTGCTTCGCTAGTCGTACTAATAACTGATGCCTCGCTGTCTTGACTGTTTGTCGAGGGCTATGTGGGGGTGCTACTTAGAGCTGGATAGTATAGCTACACGCAAGTGGTGCGTAGCGAGACCGCAGTCGAGAGCTGGTCATCACGGTCGTTGAGAACTAAGCACCGAGCTGCTAGCGATAGATGAGCAGCACGACCGCTGAAAGCTGGGCAACGAGACTACCGAGCGTTGAACAGCGAGGCTGAGCTTTCGACTCGGAATATTAATATCACCTTGGGAGTGCATTATCATGCATAACATCAGCTCTTCATGTACTTTAACTCTGCCCCTTCGGAATCACTTATGCATGGTGTCGTACCAACCCTACTCCCCCCCATTTTTTTTCTTAGAGGGGGCGAAGAAAAGGGAAATATGGATGTACAATTGCTGAAAGCTGAGATACATAGCTGCTGGAAAGAGCTAGGCGACACAAGTGCTAACAAAAAGCGGATAGCACGGCTGCCGAGAGCTAAGCAGCGCGACTGCTGGGAGTCAGACAAAGTAGCTGCTGATGGCTGGGCTTTGCAGCTGCTGAGCTAGGTCGTGTCACTGCTGAAGGTCGAGCTATGCGACTACTAAGAGCTGGGCAGTAAGACTAGCGGGGGTCGGTCAACATGAATGTGAGAGTTGATTAGCGAGACTTCCCGGGATTGGTCAACACGGCTGCTGATGACCGCGCAACGCAGTTACTGATGGCTATTTCGAAACGCTTCACGAGTAGTAGTAGTAATGTACTACTCTTCTCCTCCCCCTTTTTATTTGAGTGGTGCAAGTCACGACACCTCTTCTAGAAACATATTCTGTTGAGTGAAGCTTACGGTATGCTAGCATTAATTTTTTGATTATTTTCTTGCAAAATTAAACCATATCTTGTTGAGGTGGTCCATAAAAAGACCCAAGAAAAGCTCAAAGGGAGTGTTGCAGCCCATTTGTTTGATTGTGGGCCAAAATGCTAACCCGTTGTTTTTTTTTTTTTTTTTTAACGTCAATTGAGTCGTAATGCATCTTCTAGACTTGGATTTTGTTGGACGAGATCGCAGCGAACGACCACTGCTTATTTTGCCTTCCAAAAGTAGCCCACTTTATTATTGTTATGATAGCCCAATAAAATAAATATGATTTGAAGAAGCCCATAATAAAATAGCCCATTAAGAATAATAAACCCATTTATAGATTTATCAGCTAAGTAGTGATACCGTCTTCTTTTATTTACTTCGTGTGTATTTGATTGTGGGCTAATAATATCAAAGCAAGAGTACCACATAGGCCCGTTTGTTGTTTATTCCTACTGTCTTGTTGCCCTCGTTTTCACTTACCCTCATTCTTGTTGATGAAAAGGCACCCAAAAGAAACGCAGGTATTGACTGGAAGGTAAGAGTTCACAGTGGTTACTCATTGGAGATCGCAACAGCGAGCTCGTCGGAGGCGCTGTGCCTGTGGTTGCCGGCGGTAATTTCCCTTCTTCTTCTTTTCTCTTTTTGTTCTTCACCGGGATTCAATGGTGCCACGGAAATCGGAGCAACTTCTGATGACGTCCCTTTAGTGGGGATGCTTCGCTAATCGCCGGCTAGAGGAGATCGGCTAGCGATGGAACAGCAGGCGGAGACCCGTGGTGACGATCGCTATCGGGGGAGGAGGTGACCGGGATGGCCGGTGATGCTGTTGTTTTTTATTCCTATTGAAGAATTGAGGTCAGATATCGGAGCAGATACTGCTGTCATCTTCGATCTGTTGAAGCTTGGAGGTCTTCGTCGACGGTCTGGGGTTGTCGGTGATGTTGGTCCTTGGACGGAATGAATCAAGTGGTGTTGTAGCTCCGGTTCTGGTGGCCTCTTGGCGGAGGTTGAAGCGTCAGCGGCTTCTTTGGCGGCTTGGAGTTGTTGGGTCGCCATTGAAGGTGCTGTGACTCCGGGGTTTAATGGTGCAACGGAAGTTGGAGCGATGGTGGCTCTAGAGAGCGGGACTAGCGCCGCGCCGGTGGTCCGGTAGATGGAGCAACAGTAATCAACGACCAACTAGGGTGGTTTCCGTCTTGTAGTGATACTGTTCCGATGGTTGGTCCCGTATTGGAGTCGACGACAGGATGAGGTCGGGATATCGGGATATCACATCAGCTGGTGTGGGAGGTAGGCCCGGTGGTCCCAATCTTGGTCTTTGCCTTTTCCAATTGACTTTTGGTAGCTTCAATTGACTTTTGGTAGCTTTGTAATTGTGGGACTTAAGCAATGACATAAGAAGCCATTAGACACATTATTGAAGACATGTGCCCTTTCAATATAGAAAGGAGTTGTAATTATTTAGGTTTTGTCTTTTATAATTATTATATGTCTATTGTATTATTGTAATGTAACATAAAGTGTTAGTCCCTCAATAGTCTAGGGGGCTATATTGTAAATATGTTTGTCATATTGCAATCAAACGATTGCAGTTCTATTATTGTACTCGGCTCCTTTGAGCCTATAAATAGGGCATTTGCCCATATGAAATAAACAAGCTAAGTTTGAGTGTTTAAGATTTGAGTTGATCTCAATCTTCTGCTATTCAGAAATAGACGAGCTATTTCAACAGAAGAAGATTAAGATCAACTCAAATCTTAAACACTCAAACTTAGCTTGTTTATTTCATATGGGCAAATGCCCTATTTATAGGCTCAAAGGAGCCGAGTACAATAATAGAACTGCAATCGTTTGATTGCAATATGACAAACATATTTACAACATAGCCCCCTAGACTATTGAGGGACTAACACTTTATGTTACATCACAATAATACAATAGACATACAATAATTATAAAAGACAAAACCTAAATAATTACAACTCCTTTCTATATTGAAAGGCCACATGTCTTCAATAATGTGTCTAATGGCTTCTTATGTCATTGCTTACGTCATTCCTCCCGCCTCCGAAAAGACATGTTTTTTTGAATAATGTTTGCTTGTGTCATGGCTGACGTTAATCTTTCATGAATGGTGCCTCTTTCATAATCGAGTAGGAATGTTTTTAACTGTTTCTCTATGATGGCTTCCATTCTCTTGTCAATATGTCTGCTATATGATTGTTGGCGCTTTTGATATACTTGAGATATGGATGAAATTGATGTAATTGTAATTGCCACCGGATCAATCGTCCTCGACAGTAATCTTCTTGTAACTTATACCGCCAAAAGCCAAGTAGATACTTGGAATCTGTGCGTAATTCGAATCTGGTTTGAAGTAGCTCGACTTTCCATTTTTTCAATGTTCTGAGACATGCTAGTGTTTCTCGTTCATGTGTGCTGTAATTTTGCTCCGTTTGGGAAAATGTTCCCGATATATACTTGCATAGTTTTTGCTCGTATTTATCTGTTTTTAATACTTCAGATGATACATCTGTATCAATGTATGCTTTTGGTGATATTTTCATATCACTGTATGCTTTTGGTGATATTTTCATATCACTGTATACTTTATCATTGTTTACTTCAGATGGTATTTTCATACCAGTGTGTGCTTTATCATTGTATACTTTTGATGAGTTGGATATGAGGTTTCCCTCACTATCTAATCCCAATAATACTTTTCCTCGTATAATTGCTTTTAGGCATCCTGCCCAAGTGTCTTGTGATGCATCTGTTTCTACGATTAAGAAATCATCTATTTTTGCATTATATAGAGTAGGGAGAACTTGAATGTTTTGTTTTATATTTTGTACTAAAATAGTATCTGTATTGGTCCAAGACCAAGGTATTTTTCTGATATTTTCTTTTGTAAAACTTTTCTTTCTTTTGCTAAATTTTTTAAAAATCCTTGTTCTGCAATATAATTTAAACAACCAAGAAATCGTTGTATTTGTTTTCTATTTTCAAGTTTATTAGGAAGCATATTTAATTTTTCTCGTATATTGTCTGTTAACGATAATTGACCATTTTCTCCAATTTTTAAACCGAGATATTCAACTGTAGTTTGAAAAAGTTTTGATTTCTTTTTTGATAAAACTAAACCCTTTTCTTTAATTCTTTGTAAAACCTTGATGACTGCATCAATGTGTGTTTGTTCGTTTCCTTTTGTAAAAACAATTATATCATCAATATATGCAAGACAAATATGATCTAAACCATTTAAGGTTTCATCCATGAATCGCTGATATATTGCAGGTGCCTGTTTTAAACCGAATGGAAGAACATTCCATTCATAATGCTTCTGAGGAGGACATGAAAAAGCGGTTAGTGGTTTCGTATTTTCATGTAAGCGTAATTGCCAATATCCGGATTTTGCATCAAATGTACTAAAATGTGTATTTCCTTTTAGTTTTTCTAAAATATATTCTTTTCGTGGTAATTTATATGAGTCTCCTATAGTAGCATCATTCATTTTTTTATAATTGATTACCATTCTTCGTTTGCCTCGTTTATTTCATTATTATTTTCTACATAAAATGCAGGTGCTGAATGAGGACTCTTGCTAGGTCGAATGATTCCTTTTTCTAATAGTTCAATGCATTCCTGTTTGAATTCAGAAACATCTTTTATGCTGTATGAAATTTTATTTGGAACATTAACTTCATCATTAGGGTTTTTTAATAATATTATTATTTCTTGATTATTTTTATTTTTTAAATGATCTAGCGGGTTTTCGCTACATACTTCTTCGAGTTGTTTTTCAGCAATTTCTTTAGCAAATGTTAGTAATATGCGTAATTGAAAGCCAACCTCTTGTTTGATTATTTTAATAAGATCATAATGTTTGATAATTGCAGTTTTTATAATACCTTGTGTTGGATGATTGAGACTTATATCGTCATTTGTTTGTATAAATGGTTGATATAATTTAAGGAAATTATTTCCTATTACTAAATCTATTCCTGAATCATGTTGATATATAGTTGGAGTTTTAAATGGTGCTTTTTCAATTACTATATCTATATCTCTTCCTACGAACCAAATTTTGTGAATTGATTTATCAGCAATTGTTATTTTTAATGGTTTTTCTAATTTTTCCCAATTTTTTAATATCTTTTTTCTTCCAAAACATAAAGTAGCTCCTGTATCTATATATGAAACTAATTCTTTATCTTGTATTTTGGTTGTAATAAAGGTACTATTTGGGTTAATATTTGTTTTTCTTTTACTCATTTTAGGATTAGTTTATAAATTTCTTTTAAATGTTTTGTGGATTTTTCTAAATCTTTCCATAATTTTTTAAGTAGATCAACTTTATATTTATTATCGTAACTACTCATAATTTTTATTTTACCATGTGAAAGGTCGTTTAATAGTAAGTGGTTTTTCTTTAAGTAGCTGTTTTTCATTAAGTGGTTCTTTTTTAATAGTTTTTATTTTTAAATATTTTTCAAGTAGATTTTTCTGTTGATTTAAATTGTGTAATAATTCAGGAATTTGTTTTAATACAATTAAACTTTCTACTTCTATAATATTATTTAATTTTTGATTAATTATGTTTAATTTTTCTCCTACTGATTTATCTTCTTCAGGATTAAGACCGATGTTATATATTGTTCCCTGTGGTAAATTTTGTGGTATTTCTATAATCATTTCTTTATCTGGTATACATGGTTTTGTATTTTGATATGATCCTTCAAGTGTTTTAAAATATTTTAGGGAATTACTAGATGATTCTGTCATATTCTTAAACTTAATGATCTAATCATTTCTTTAATATCTTCTAACTTTTTCATCGTTATTTTCATTAGATGTTGAAGGCTGACATTCTGAAATAGAAGATCTACCTATTATAGTTGAAAATGGAGGTTCTATAATTGGACTTCTTTTTATTAACGGAGTAGTTATTATTGGTTGAAAATTAGTTTCATTGAATATTCTATGATTAGTCATATTTGGTGATTCAAGGGATAATAAAGGGGTAAATAATTTATCTATATAAATTCTATCTTCTGTTTTAAATGTAATACTATGATGAGAATTTGTTAATGCATAATTTATTTGATATGTAATAGTAAATGGATGATTACCTTTTATCATAAAATTTTGTCTTAATAATTTATATCGTACAGTAATACTATTACTTAAATTTTTATCTTTAAGACTTAATCCTAATTGAATATTAATATCAAATTTTATTTTTCCTTCAATTAAATTACCTTCTCCTTTTTGCAATAATACTTTCTTGGTTATTAATTATACGATCATCTCTGATTTCTAATTCTATTGGTGTATTTAAATTACTTACAGTACTTTTTAAGATTATTTGAATAGTTGATATATGAATATAAGCAATTTTTTTTTCTATCTGTTTCTTTAATATGAGATAATCTATTTCTAATTTGTTGTTTATTTATTATGGGTATAGTAATATTTCCTTGAGTTAATTCTATAGGTATTGCTTGTTCTCCTATAATTTTTCCATAATATATAATATTTTTTCTAGAAAAGAAATTTTTAAATGTGTTATATCTAAAATTGTATCTTTCGGATAGTGTGAAATTTGATTTTCTTATAGCGTCTTTATTGATATTATTTTTATTAATTAAAGCATCAAAAGTGTATCCAGATTCATTTTCTTCGTTATTAATAACTATTGGTGAGTTTTCTATTTCTTGAGACATACTTATAGTATTAAATATATTCTTACGATAAATATTTTAATTGTTGATAACTTTTTTTTTAAATATGAATATTTAAAAACAATGGTTATTTATTATCATGTTTATGATGTTTATCATGTTTATGATGCTTATCATGTTTATGATGCTGCATATGCATATATTCTTATTAACGATAGATTGAATATGCAAACTAGTAATAAGAATAATAAGAACGTTACTTAGCTCTGATACCAAATTGAAATACATGGCGGAATTAATAAAATTAGGATAAAATATACCTGAATGATGCGTTGGAATGGATTGACGATGGATTGATTGTCTGGGTTTGAT